TTCATTGAGTACAAATAGTAATTCTCTTATATACGGAACCATCAGTATTTAGACAAATATATTTATAAAATTTAGTAGGCCTTACGTATCTGAATAAAATTAAAATGTTTACTTTTCCGTACACACATCTTTGGCATCGTGATGAGATGCGCTAGGTGTTAACAGTAGATTGGTAATATTTACTCCGAATTTCCAAACACTGAAAAATTTAAAAATCTTAATTTTGAATATACTTATACTATTTTTATTATAAAATTACTATGACAAATTTTTTGTTATTTTTACTAAGATACGAATATTTTGCTAAGACAAAGTTTTGTCTCTAAAAATTAATGAGAATTCAGTGGGCAGAAAATAAGAGACGCACTTAACGTTGACGTTGAAGGTGTAAACTAGGAAAATATATTTTAATTTTATTATTCAAACTACTATGAAGTTGTCAACATTCCATCCATTTTTTGACCTTTACTGCTTGATGTATTCATTAGTTGAGTACAATGGCAGAATTGTGCCGTAATACACTTTATTTGACACCAATGGTCATGTTGAAATTTAAAACTGTAATATTTTTGAAATTACAACAAATTATAAAGTTAACGGGTTAGGATAAAATAATTTGAGGAGCTTTAGTCAATGTTAAAAGTATTTACAAGAAAATCAAATAAATTCTGGGCCGCCACGTATCTCTTTCTGACATAACCAAGTATACATCTTCAATGATGTTTGAAAATATATTCTGGATTTAATTATTCGAATATAATTTTAAGACTGTAAGTAGCAAGGTTTAAGATTCAGCACAAAAGATCAATCATGTTCGCAGTGCTCCGCTCCGTTGGGAGCTAGTACCCCGTTTAATCCTATTCCTGAGGCTTAAGCTTGAGTCCTGTCATATTTGAAACAGGGATACACGTTCTATAAAAGCTTAGGTAAATATTTAATAATACGATAGCTGATATAATAACTAGTCAAGAGTGTGTTCGAAAAAACCATCATTGCCACAAGGTCTTCATATTTTCTAATAAGTATCCATATCTATACTAATATTTACTAATTTTAAAAAGGTGGCAAATATGTTTATAAAAATTAAATCAAAAGAGATGTTGTCAGAAAACTTGGCAGAAGAAAGTTAAGAAATACAGACATAATATTATTTAAATAAGACAGTAACCAATGAGTGTCAATTTTATTAAATTTAAAAAAAAAACGTTGGAATTAGTAAAACATAAAGGTCATTAGGGTTAAGAAATACAGACATTATATTATTTAAATAAGACAGTAACCAATGAGTGTCAATTTTATTAAATTTAAAAAAAAAAAACATTTGAATTAGTAAAACATAAAGGCCATTAGCGTTAATGTCTAGTACTTCTTCTATATTTGGCATAATATTGTTTCTAAGATTTCTAAGGTTGTAGGTAAATAGATTACTTGCTTCTTAATTACTGTAGTCCTCTTCTTCTTGTGGAGCATAGGGTCTCAGCTAAATAGATTACTGTGATAATTTATTGGTAATGTTCATAAAAACTCATATAATGCAAAAAATTCTTCTCAAATTTTTAATTAGCACATTACATTGGGAGTTCCTATATAGACGCCTGCTTATAATAATACACCACAAATAGAAAAGATAGAACCTAAGAACAAAAAATATTTGAAATACAATATAAAATTATTGTTATTTGTGATTAGACTTGAATTGTTTTCGATGTAGTACTCATTAATCTATTATAAAGGACTGACCCATTTTGACAACAAGTTCAAGATAAATCTTGATTTAGAATATTTTATATAGAAATTACAACTAAACAGCTTTATTTTTAATCGTTAATAGATAAAAAACTATTTTTAATAATTTTTAATAGACTTGTTTATAACATTTAAACAATAAACTGAAATTGCAAATGTTGAATTCCTTTTTTTTAAAGAAAAATATATTAAGAAATATATAACAAGATTAAAATTAGATACAAAAAATATTGTTAAAACTAATTTCAATCAAATTAAATTTCCCTTAATTACTTAAAAATTTATTAAATAGTTTTTATATCTCACACTAAAATCACACTTGCAAAGTCCAATCCGTATCTATTGGAAAATTTTCAGACGGAAGTTTAAATTAATGACTTTTATTATGTAAAACATTTTATTTATAATGTCTGTCGGAATATAAATAATTTATTAATACTCGTACAATACAAGAACAATAATACCAAACCAGTGACATTGAAATTTTTAATGTTACTTTTAAAATAAAAACAGATTAAAATTCTTGCAAAATCGTACGATGGAAATATATTTTAATTTTTGCAAATTATGCAAAAAAAAATGAAGACTAACAGGATTTATTTAGTTTTTTAGCAAAAGCATAAAACATGCTTTCTTAACAAGTTTAAGAAATTATAATTTAATTTTTTTCAAATTAATTAGCATATTTGTGATTAGAATTAACAAACCCAAAACTCAGTATAATAGTTACTTAAGTGAACAATTTGAATATTGAAACAACTTAAAAGATAAAGAATAGAACATCGAAAAATGAAAGCAAGTAGTAGAAGATTTCACACTTCTTGGCCTCGAGTACATACAAAAAAAATATATATATCTTAAATATACATATATTACTTAACTATATATTATTTATTTGTTCTTTGTTTAGTGACTTACTAACATAATATCAAAGAGGCCAATTTATTATACAAAAAATGAATACGATGGGAAGTAATAAAAAATATGCGAAAGATAGAAAAACCATAAATTTTAGGCTTCATTGGTAAAACAATTTTTGTTTATTAATTTTTATGGTTTTTAGAAAAGCAAATAAATATGTACAAAAAAAAAAGACTTCACTTAAAAAGGTGTAACGCGGAATGAACATAGTTTATCGCCAAATTTTTTTCTGGAAATAAAGTCAATTTCTGAATAATTAAATAATATAAAAATTTATTATTAACACGGAAAATATAATAAACTTATTTATTTTATTTGAAATATTTCCTTATTGCAAATAAGAATTTTATTCATTTTAACTAGTGTAATAATTAATCTCCAATAAGACTACATATTAAACAATTGCAGAAAGTTATAAGAAAGTGATTGAAACTCTACTTAAAATTGAAATACATAAATTTTTTAAATTAATTTCACCTTAGTAAATTAAATAATCTATTGGATATATAGAGCTATATAAATATAATTATATCTATATAGATATATATAGGTATATAGTTGAGCGACTATTTATCTTGCACAATTTGATACAATAATTAATATTAATTATTGAAATGGATTTATTTTCTTCACATAAACTATATACTATTTCATATGAGAAAAGTGTTAATTATATATCTAAATACTCGTGCTTTTCGTATATGAACAATTCGAATTCTTTTAATAGTTTCAATATATAAATATAGAATAATTCGAACTATTCGTTGCAAAATGTATAATGAATTATTCAAATCTTCGTATTGGCTGAACAGTTAAATTATCAAATTATTGGAATAAAGTGAACAACACTACCATCCATTATTTTTAATACTGGACTCACATGAGAGTTTTGTTTATAATTTTAGCTGTCAATTGTTGTTGCTTTTAATGCAAAATGAAAATTTTTGACAACTAAAATTATAAACAAAACTCGCGTGTTAATCCAGTATAAAATAATATATATAAATTGGACAACTTCTAGAAAAATATGAAACTAATTTTGAATGTGTTAGATCTCTAAAAGTTATTTAGCTTGTGATAAAAAAATCAATACAATTATTTAAGCAACTAGTGGAGTAACATTAGTATGACTTTCTCAGCATTACGTTCCTAGATTAGGTTCTATACATAAGAAAGAACAAATCATACAACAAATAATGCCTCTACGAACAGAATAGTACTGAAATTTAACAATTGAAAATAAAATTATAATTAATTAATTAATTCAATTATTCTACAGCTGGTTTGAGACTTGCAGTCTCAAAAATAATTATTTACGAATAATTAAATACAAGAATTATTTCCAAGACCACAGATGATGGGTATTTGGCAATACTCGAAACAGCTGTATGGTCAGCCAAAAATTCAATTAATTAAAATAATATAAAAAATAATTTTTTGTTGTTGTATTTCACTATTGTTCGAAAAAACCTCTTTAAGCAATTAAATTATGTAAAACAATAACGTATCTATATAATGTACAGATTTTATTATATCATATTTATATAAATCAAACTATTAACATGACCCTTGGTATAATCCATAAAAATACAATTGCTCTCAAGAAAAATGCACTTGCGTGTAGAATGGTAATATACCTCAGTTATTCAACTCTTATTGTACCAAAAATGTATCTTTGTATTTTGAACATATATACACATGTTATTTCATGCAGTTTAGTTACCTGCATATTTGATGGACAAAATTTTAAACCAGCATGCCATTGACCCAATTAACTCTTACATCTTTCGCTTTTCTTGCATTTTATTAAGTGGAACAATGTCAAAATGCATTAACATTTCATGCTCTTAAATTTTCTTCTCGTTTTTGGGTTTAGTAATCATTATAAGAAAACTAAAATCGATTTTTATTTTGTTGATTTACGTGAACTATCATCGACAGAATACAGTTCATCCATGCAATTCATCCATGAACATTCAACTCTGACCATTTTCGTTCAACCCAATGATAAATTTTTGATCGAAACTAAACTGGGCAGTTGCAATTTTTTGAAACTTTGTTTGGAGCAAAAGTGCGAATATATATCTATATCTTATTGTTAACAAAAAAAAAAAATGAAATTAAGCAAAATAAAGTGGAAAATCATAAAAATATGAAACTGCAATTCACTACAGCACACGTGCAATATAATTTTTGTTCATGCAAACAGATAAAATTTAACATGGTGAGGTGCAACCATATCGAAAAGATAAAAAAATTTGCAATAACATTAACAATAACATTAATCGTTATTATATTGCAATTGGATAGTAATCAGAAATTTTGTAATCCCAATGATCGATGTCAAGTGTATTATCGGTTACTGGTTAATACGTGGTGTGTCCATACAATAGCCTCTCTGTGAACTTTGCGGTTCATTTGTATATTTTGTTTCGATATTGCATTCGGTAATGCTTAATCATTTTAATGAATACTGACATGTAACAAAATC